TAAATGCTTTAAGAAATCAGATGTGATTCAGGAATGTAAACAACTGCACGATCAACGGTCAGTAACACGGTAAATGCAAGCAGCACCAAATTACGGGAAAGTTTGCCGATGTCGTCTGCGCGTGACACACACACACACACACGTACAGTATGCCTAGGTGTTCCTGGACTTACATTCATGCAAAGCATTTGAGAAGCCTTCATTTACCACACATGCCACTATTAATTTTGTCTTTGCACGTACTCGAACAGTTTATGCAAATACATCACCACTCATCTTTTCAGGCCTGGTAGCACGCTACTTCACGGGGGTAGTCTAAACAGTCATTGAGGCAAGTCTATGGAATAGGCAGCTTTCGCAAAATGATTTGCCTAGTCACGTGATTGATTTAGAGATCTCTTGTGATACTCCCATTGGTAAAAACATCGTGGCCAATAGCGCTCTTCCGCTGTATGAAAGACTCTCGAAATGTCTGTCGCGAATCAGTTCAACAAGATCTAAGATGTTAATGTTTTTGCCAGAACAGAACTGCATTAAAGATTTACAATCCCAGCCTCAGCGCGCTTTCTGCGAAGTCGCATGTACGTCAAACGACGGTATTCGAATTTGCTGAATGTGACAGAGACTTCTTCCAAATTGTCTCTCATTTAACCGGTAATTCTCTTGTTCTTGTTTCTTTTTGTTAGTTTTACAGAATGAATGTACAACCACAATTCTGTCTCTATTGCTTTTGCAGAAAAAATGAAATTTTTGGCGCTCCCATTCAAACAATAAACTTTCGTTCATCCATGGCATTCTTCATCGGCCAAATCTGTTATGAATGTTTGAAATAGCCCTGCTCTATTTCAATATCTACGGCTTGGACGAATGACTGGTCAGGCGACATTACCACGTCATCCAAATAATCTTACTGTATGCCTTCAACTTCTAAGGCTCGAACTTTAGTCAGTAGACAAATATTTATCTACCGATTTTGCGGGTCACAGTGCATTTAAGAAGGTAAAGCCTGCGAGCAATTAAACAGTGATCTGTCGGCAATTCAAACCCTAGTTGTACCTTAGCTCAAGCATCATAGGTAACAGGCATAACGAAAATATGACCAAGTCGATCAACCACCGATACCCTAAAGAATCTCATCGCCGGTGTTCATATAGGCGTTGCGGAGCACTAAGAAACCATTCATTCTAAACATATTCAAAAAATTTCAGCTATTTGACAAAATTTCGGTTCATACCAGGTTCTTCACCATGACGTTGTGTGGCATTTTAATTTGCATGCTGATTTACAGCCTCTAAATAATGAAAACAAAAGCAAAGATTAACAAGTCAGTTCGAACAAGAGCGTAACACAAGTCGACTAGTAGACCAGTCAACGACTAAACTTTTTAAATCTTCCTTTATGTGACAAACTCTTGACGCTTGGCAAGGCATCATTTCGACATCTAGTAAGTATAATTCATTTTGTGCAGTCTTTTTAAATCTCTTCTGTGTCATATCTGGCGTACGCAAGTTCCAATGGCTCTGAACCACCGCCAAGTGAACGTTTTTATGTCATAATCATTAATATCCCACGGCTTTGCCTAAAAGACTTCAATTATCAGCGTTAATGAGCAGATTAATAGATTAGTCCAAGAAACAAGCAAATGAATTTGAGTTAATGGATTATTTAATAGGTAGAAGAAATTCACAACCTCATATTGAAAAATTAACGCCTCTGTCTGTCGTCAATATCAGCAGCTTTCCAATATCAGCCTTGTCCTTGTCCATTTTGTTTTCTACAATCCAGTATAAGGGCTATAACTCAGGCGCTGTTGTTTGCTAAACTTTTGATACCCTACCTGAAATGAGGATCAGCTAATGAACAGCAGTGCAGTCAGACATCCGCCCAGATGCAATCACATCCATAAATGTTGTATTCTGTTCAGAAGATTCACTCCATTTATTCATTTCATTCATCTTCCATGACCGCGTCCAATTTCGGGACGCGGAGGCAGATGCATCACATAGTGCTTCAAACGTTCCCGATCCTGTGCCACTGTCTGACCTTCAGTAAAATACAACCGGAATCTTGAGCAGACTCCTTCAATACACTTGTTCCAGATTCATCTTAGCTGTCTCCTGGGTCTTTCACCGGTCGACTGAGCAATATGCTGTTGTTTAGCTGCATT